AACGACAATCTGAGTCAGATCCAGATTGCGATCAATTTATAAAATTGATTGTACAAATTAAGTTTTTTTAATGTTTGAGGGTTTATAAATTGAGAATTGAAGCACCTTTTAGAGTGTCCCTAAAGGGAGGTGCCCAATGTTACTAATATTTTAGAGGGTCAGTGTGGTAATTTTCTAAAAAGTGTTTGGTAATTTTTTTTTGGAGTTTGTATTAGAACACGCAGGGGGATAACGAGGTTCAAAAACTTGCAGGACAATGACCTATGGCGTTTTGTAATTGAGGGATGAAATACAATGTGAAATCTAGGGCAATCCTTGTTATGTTTAATTCTTGTTATATTTTTTGGATGAGTTATTCGTAACTAACTGCATATTTGTGATATAAAGGTGGCCAATTCGTAATTCTATATTTTCAGATTCAAAATATTTTCAAATCCTTATCGTGTCGGAAATTAAAACTCAAAAGTTTATACGATTCTTTTAACGGAGTTGTCTACGGTATTGAGAAAAAAATTGTAAAAAAAATTAAAAAAAAAAGAGAGAAAAATATTGATATTATTATAATATTTATTATATTTATGAGTGTTTTTATCATTGTTGTAATACCAAATAAAAGTGATAAATTACCCACAAACATAATAAATTTTTTTGTACTGAATAAAAATAATAAAAATATCTACGATAATAATAAATCATCTACAAAAATAATAATTTTTTTAATTATAAAATTACTCATAAAAATAATAAATTTTAAAAATACGGTGCCATTTTTTTTTCCCATACCATGGTAAAGTCCTCTTTTAACAGCCACAAGGGTTGCACTAGCAACATGCTTTCACATTATGATCATGATGTAAAGTGGTATTTCCCTTTCACCTAAGAATTGGATTCTTGTCAATGGCTGCTTTTGTCTACATTTACCATCAATTACACCCCTTTGTAGATGCAATGTAGTTAATGAGAGGTCACAGGCTGTTAGGCAGGGTCTTTAATAGGAAAAAAACCAACATGAACATAATAATGGGAAAAAACCAACATGAAAATAATATCAAAATATCGTGAATTTAAATCATGATAATATTTTAAAATTAGGTCATAATAATTTATTATTTATGAATATTTTAATTTCGATATGGTTTTTGACCAAATCAAAAAAAATTAATTAAGATATATATAAATTGACTCAAATATATCTGATCGTCAAAAAAAATATATATAGTACTTAGAACAAGTAAAACTTCACATAGCAAAGCAATCATGACCATAGATGGTTTTGGGGGCTACATTTTCCTTTCTTAATGTCCACATGGCTTAAAATTTGGCAATTAAGTTACGTCAAACTATGAAAAATTTATTTTTTACGAATTTTTTTATTATGTTTGAAAAAATAATATACTTTCATTCTAAAGTAGAATTTCTATTTATATGACTACTGTTTTTTTTAAAGAAAAAAAAACTTATTGAGTCTTTTCATAGTTGTAATACAATTATTAAGTCAATAAATTTCAGACTGCAATCACAACTATCATGAAATAATGCCTCTAAATGGAGATGTTAATCCAACCGAAAAAAAGACTAAGAGTCACATGACTCACATCCCACTTCTATCCTCAATCTTTTCAAGAGGATAAAAAAGAAGATGACCTCAGCTTTAGTTGAAAAAAAAATATTTTTTTAATTTTTTTTTAGTAAGGTATAATTATTTTTTATCCATTTCTAGCCTTTGCAATGGTCATCGGGAACGGAGTTAGAATTTTACGATGAGGGGGTCAAATAGTGGTTCAATTAGAAATGTTATTTGGTAGAATCATTCAACTTGTCATCGTTAATGTTAAGTTTTTAATTGTATATTTTTTTAATCAAAATTAACTTTAGTATGATATCATCATAAAAGTTAGTTTGGTGCATAAGTTTCAAAATTATTTCCTACTTTTCATAATAAAAATTACTTTGTGACACTATAGGGATTCAGTATTCTCTCATTTATGACATGTATGCAATGAGTATGAAAGAATTACCATAAAAAAAAAATTAGTTTCACATGATAAATATTTATCACGAGTCACTACATTATTGGTGATATAAGTGATGATAATGCACAAAAATGTTTATACAAAATCAATCAAGGATGAAATAAAAAGAGCCCGACACAAACAAATACAAAGATTAGGTGGTTCGGTTTGATACCCTACTCTACTAGGAATAGCTACAATAGCCAAATAATCTTATTACTCAAGACGTATAATGTGCTAAGATATGTGTAATGTCTCTTATGTGTAGACGAAAATTATAATTTATAGGCAAGTGAATTTGGTTATGATAGGCTCTGATTGAGGCGTTATCCTCATAACTGATTTTATAAAGTTCGTCTTATGTCGTAACATGTGAGGTGATCTCGTGAGACTAACGGTGTTCCCTTGATGGTTGCGTCCCCACGGATCCCTTCTCCTCGAATGGAAATTTCCACGCACGCTTGTAATGGGTTGGGTCTCTCAAGACGGTGGGCTTGGCCCAACCAAAATTATGACTGAACTTTTGTTGTTCTATATCTGTGATCTGTGTCTAGTCTAGACTGGTCTTCTCAATAAGTCAAGTTTATAACCCGACTTTTCAGGAATTTTACTTTTTTTTGGATTATCAAATGCATCCAAGCTTTTGTCTTCATCAACACTTATTTCTAAGATCAACTATTGCCTCTTTGATTTTCACTATCCCCCCCCCCCCCCCCAAAAAAAAAAAAAAAAAAACAAATAGAAAGGTCAGGGTTACAACCCTTGTGAGAGGGATAGTGTGACCCTTGTTGGGTAAAGGACATATGTTTGTTCCTCTCAAATCAGGTCACCTAGCAATTTTCATCCTTCTTTCCATTAAAGAGTAACTATTGCCTACTTGATCTTCACTAACCCCCCCCCCCCCCCCCCCCCCCCAACCCCACTCACTAGCCCAATAGAAAGGTCAGGGGTACAACCCTTGTAAGAGGGATAGTGTGATCCTTGTTCCTCTCAAATAAAGTCACCTAACAATTTTCATCCTTCTTTCCATTAAAGAGTAGAAAATAATCATTCCTTTTAAAATTGATTTAATATTATAGATAAAAAAATTGAATTCTCAAACTTGTAATGATCAATAAAATGCTAACCAAAAAGGGTATCGGAACTCATCGTAAGCATTTTTTTTCCTTAATATATTTTGGGTATTTTTGATCAGCACATAATTCCAACTTAGCAAAACTGAAAAATCAGCTTCTACAACACCATCTTCAATACAATGATCCTACTACAATAATGACAAATAATTTTAGCATCAAAACTCTACATTTTTTTTTCAATAAAATTTGAAATGTATATAGTTTTTTTTTAAAATATTTGTCATTTTATTATTTTCAATCAATGATTATAAATTATCTAAATAACAATTAATGGCTAGAAGTTAATTTTGGTACTATATTAACACTACATAGTCTTATCCTCAATAAACTAAATCAATAAGGTATGGTATTTTGAGAAAAATATTTATGTAATAGTGAACATCGTGTCATCACTATCACCTAATGTCATAATCTACTTAATTATTTTTTATCAAATGATAATATGACGCAGTGCTGATAGTAGAGGAGTGTGGATAATGTTTCTCTAAATTTAGATAATGATGTGTCACCCTTCATCATAAAAACAAACATATACGTACACACATGGTCAAATTATTGAAAAAAAAAACAAAGAATCATTATTTTGCCCACCCAAAAACATAAATATGCTCTAAAACTACATTTTACCAACACTAGGATTCGTCGGATGTGACGATGATAATTACGAAATGTGTTGAACTTATGTCTTTCCTAATCTAAGGGGTTGTGTAGAGTGAACTTACTCGATTCTTCTTAAATCTTTTCGAAAAGGAGGGTACAACATTTAAAGTGATTGTTGGTTAACAAAAATTTTAACTATCCAATTAGATTTAATTAACAAAACTTCTCTATACATAGAGAATCTGTGAGTGCCGAATCAAGGGTTCCTAGATATGGTGTTAAAAAACATTCTATCTTACCATGTTGTGGTACAAAAATAGAGTTTAATTATCAATGCAGACTAAATATTTCATTTAAATAATGGCCAAATATGTATTTTTCTAATTTTTTTCTTTTCCATAAGAAGAAACACATTGCTTTTTTCCCCATAATAGAATGCCCTCTTTAACTATAATATATTGTCATTTTCAAAATGTGGCAACACCATTTTTTACTTTTACAATTCCCTCCTTTTTAATTTTCCTAAATTGCATATTCTCCTTAACAATTCCCTAAAATTTCTAATACTGGTTGTATCTAAAGACATGCCTATGAGTTTATCTATTTCAAGCAATCCTATTTTTTTTTTCTTATAAAAAATTGTATTTTTTTTTACATATTTTTAGATTTATGACTATTATATAATCTAGATATGTGTATAATAATGGATAAATCAAACACATCGGACCAATCAAAAAGACTTGAGGTTGAGAATTTAAAATATTATCAATTGGTATTTCAATTCTAATATAAGAATTATACCAATTCAAAAAGCAAAAGCTTAGGTGGCATTGCTTACTAAAGCTAAAACAAAAAGAAAAATGAAAGATAGATTACTAGAGCTAAAACAAAAAGAATAATTTTATTCACATTTAATTTATTGATTTTCAAAAAAAGAAAAGAAAAAAGAAAATAGAAAGTTTGAATCTTTTTTAAATCACTTATTTTATAAATGGGTGAATCGAACATAATACGATTAATAAACGAATTAAATATTAAAAAAATTAATCAAAAAAAATATACGATATAACTCGTTTATGTATTAATTATATAAGATTCTTACATTGAGATAAACTCAATATAATTCGACCCCTGAAATATAAATTAATAAATAAATTAAATATAAATAAAATAATTCCTGACAAAATCCTGTTAAAACCCGACGAGATTGAGACACCTATCTATAACATTTGGGAAAGGAACCTATCAATAACATTGCTGCAAAGAAAAAGGAAAGATATCAAAAGTAGGCAATCCGGCAAAAGAATGAGATAAAACCCTAACAAGGCAGCGGAAGAACAAAAACTCCAGTTGTAAAATCTAACCGTCCATCTTTCATCCAACGGCCCACATTCGCCACCTCTCGTGCTTATCACTCCTCTTTCTTCATTGTTTTCTTCTTTCATTCTCTCTCTCCAAACCTGCTCTTTCTCTGTCTAAAAATGGCCATTGCCATAACCGATCATCTCAGCAACTCTCGATTCTCACTCCGATCTCTATAAAGACACACTCTTTGATGCTTAACCAGAGCTTTGTTCTGCTCTTTTTAAGCTTTAGATTTGGAAAGATAACAGCTTTGAAGTTATAATCATGAAATCGTCTTTTTGAAACAAAACCATCGATTTTTCTTGAGGTTTTGAGCTGTTGAAGCGAATTTCATGCTAATTTGAGCTTAAAAAATTTGATTTTTGGTTGTTTAGAGTAGATTTTTTTTTTTGTATAGAGATGATCACTGATAGTTATTCGAAGATGATGTCGGATATAGGAGTACGGTCGATGCTACAAAGCAGCAATGATTACGGCGATGAGGTAGGGTTGTTACTCCGAGAGCAACGGAGACAACAAGAGATTAGTGGTAGAGAGAGAGAGCTGAGTATGTACCGTAGTGGCTCTGCTCCGCCCACTGTTGAAGGGTCGTTGAGTGCTGTCGGAGGATTGTTTGGTAATGGTGGTGGTGATTTTGTCGGTATTTCGGAGGAGGAGTTGAGGTCTGATCCAGCGTACATTTCGTACTACTATTCGAATGTGAATCTGAACCCTCGCCTGCCGCCTCCACTTCTTTCGAAGGAAGATTGGAGGTTCGCGCAGCGGTTGCAGGGCAGCGGCGGTGGTGGTGGTGGTGGTTCGGCGATTGGAGATAGGAGGAAAGTGAGTAGAGTTGGTGGTGGCGAGGATGGAGGCAGTAATAGGTCGCTGTTTTTGGCTCAACCGGGATTTGGAGGGAAGAAAGAGGAGAGTGGGAATAAGTCGGGGAAGGAGTGGGGTGGCGATGGACTTATCGGATTGCCGGGGTTGGGATTAGGTAGTAGACAGAAGAGCATTGCAGAGATCATTCAGGTGAAATGGAATTCACTGATCAAAGACTTCGATTTTGGTTCTAAAGTTTTGAATTTTTTGAATCATTGGGTATTGATGAAATGTGTTGCAGCTGCATTATGCTTTGTCAAATCTGTAGTTAACATGCTGAAAAACTGTGTTGCCTACGAAAATTTGAAAATTTAAATTGTGGTAATTTAGAAACGTTCATTATGTGGCAACATCTATTAGTATTGCTTCTATTTGTGTGTATATGTTATTTTGAGTAATTTCAATTTGTGAATTTTGAATTCCAATTGATGTTTAGTGTTTAATTGTCTGTTCATAATGGTAGGTTCAATTCAGTTCTCTTGGTCTGTCTGTCTGTTTGTTTGTGTTTGATGCTAATAAATTGATTTAGCATTGTAATTGGAATTGATACTAAGTTGACCTGTGGATAGAAATTTATACTTCCTACATGCTAAAGTTTTGCCTTTTAAGAACTGTCAATGTTCATCATTTGAGTCATTACAGTGGGTTTTCGATTTTGATTTCTCCTTGTTAGAATTTCTCTGCTGGTGGTATGCTAATAATTGTGTCATGACGTCTTGGTGTCCAGATGGAGCTTGTGACCTGACATTGGGAGGCACTAAAATAGGAGAGGAGTTGTTAATCGTGCTTTCTCAGGATATTTGGAGTCGTATGAAATGTTTAATCTATATTTGATTTGCAATTGAAAGACACTCTTTCTCAAAGTTGATTCTATCTTTTTTATTTTGTAAATCTTCGTCTGGTGCTTTATCCTAGCATTTAATAGTTGTGTGTTAGTCCTGGGACTAAATTTTGCAGTGTTGTGCCATTCTAGGAATGCTATTGTGTAGCTGTTGATAATTATCTAATTGAGATGATACTGTTGACCCATCCTGCCAGTAGGAATCAGATGTAACAGGAATTTATTGCACATTCACCTTCCACACATAGGTATTTTGTTGTTGCTTGCATGACATGGTATCAAAGGAATCAGGATAAAACAGAATGTTTGATTTCAAAAAGATGATCAACTCTTTCTGAAATTCTTGTTATTAAAGAGAAATCTCTTTTGGTTGTTATGTTCACAGCTCATCAACATAATTTTTCTCAACTTAAAAATGGGGTTGAAATTTGCAGCTTTTGGCTTTAGAAGGGCTATTGCCTTTGTAGTGAAGAAGATTTGAGGATTATCATCAGTATGCCAGAATCAACTCCGCTCTTTTGGATTCAAATCAGTTTGAACCTTTGTAGTGAAGAAGATTTAGTGACTTGCGCTTGGGTTGCTGGATTCAATGTGCAGTTGGTGTTCATGAGCTAGTTGTGACATGTCTTTCATGTTTGATGGTTCACTGGCATTATGAACACATGTTACATGCATGGAAAATAATAATGGTGGATATAAAATCTAAATGTGGCGTTAGATGATAATAGAAATGAGAGCTAAAAATGGCATCAGATTAGGGGCAATTTCTTTCTATGGAAGCAGAAGTCTACTCCTAGGGCTTCTGTTCATCTTATTATATGCTTTCTGAAATTTCAGTTTTGTGATCACGAGATGCTTGAACTTTCATCTTTACCTCAAATGAGTTGATGCAAAAGACCTGTGCTTTTTTGTCTTGTTTTCAGGATAATACAACTTTAGATGACACCAAGATGGTCTTATATAAGGGAAAGAAATATATGTGGTCTCTTGAAGTATTACTATGTTTATTCTTTTTGTTGGAAGTCGAAGTAGGGTCACCGGTCCATACTTATCTGAGGGAAGTTGCTCTGCTAATTTTAGCTATTAATTTTTCCAGAGAGAGGATTTTATTTCTAAGGACAAATTACTTTTACTAATTAAACAGTTTGTCTGTGCATCAAGTATTTGACTTTATATAACGTATCTAAAATGATCTCTCTGTGGGTTTCCAAAAATATCTTATTTAATTTGTTGAATGAGTTATACATAAAAAAATTTCTTAAATGCATAGTTTATATTTCTGATTTATATGATGATTTCTACACGTCAAATGCCGAATTCATTACATCTGAAATTATTTAAATAGCACACCAAGTGTGTAGGTGTATGTTTGCCTTTTTGTAAATTTAGTTTTTGCAGGATAGGATTCTATTAAGACATCATTTTTTCCATTAGATATTTTCATGTTTGCACGGAAGTCTCAATCTCATGTAAGTTTTTTTTTTTTTTTCTGCAAGGTAACCTTGTGTTTTAACTAAATCCGATTACTATCAATTGAAAAAATGCTTCTTTTTTTTCTCTTTGTTTGAACCATTTAGTTTTGCCGTACTATAATAGAGACGTACTATAATAGAGACACGATACACAAATGAAAAAATACTGTGTATGGGTTGATTTTGTCAAGCTTGGTTGATATTGTCTTACAACGCCACTTTTATTTCTTTTATAGTGAGTTGGCTTTACGCTTCGTTTTATCAAAAAGAATAGTTGGCTTTATGCTTCAAAATGAATAATTTTGGTATCTATGCAGGATGATATAAGTCATTCAACATCTGTTTCTAGGCACCCATCCCGTCCAGCCAGCTGTAATGCATTTGATGCTAGTGTTGAATCTTCTGAGTCCGATTTTACTCATCTTCAGCATGAATTGGCATCAATAGATGCTTTACGTTCCGGTTCAAATATTCAGGGCGCATCTGCAGTCCAAAACATGGGTTCGTCTGCTTCTCATACTTATGCTTCTGCTTTGGGTGCTTCCTTGTCAAGAAATACTACTCCTGACCCTCAACTCATAGCCAGGGCTCCTAGCCCTCGCATTCCTCCTGTTGGAGGAGGGAGGGCTTCTTCTATGGATAAAAGAAGTGTCAATGGCCAAAATCCATTCAACGGTGTGTCGCCAGTTAATGAGCCCGCTGACCTGGTATCTGCTTTGTCTGGCATGACTTTATCGGCAAACAGTATGGTGGATGAAGAGAACCATTCGCGGTCTCGAATTCAGCATGAGATTAATGACCATCAGCATCTCTTCCAGTTTCAAGGCGATCAGAACTCAATCAAACAGCATTCATATTTAAACAAGTTATCTGGACAAGCTGAAATTCACAAACCTGCTCTGCCTTCTGAAAACTCATATTTAAAAGGGCCCTCTACGCCAACTCTCAGTGGAGGAAGTTCACCTTCTCACTATCAGAACATGGACAGTCCAAATTCATTGCTTTCAAACTATGGCTTAAGTGGTTATGGCATCAATCCCGTATCACCATCCATGATGGGTAACCAGCTTGGCAGTGGTAATTTGCCACCTTTGTTTGAAAGTGTCGCTGCTGCAACAGCCATGGGCGCCTCTGGCATGGACTCTAGAGCTATGGGAGGAGGCTTGACTTTAGGGCCTAATTTTTTAGCTGCAGCAGCTGAGTTGCAGAATTTTAGCGGAGTTGGTAATAACAATCCAGCGACTGCTGTTCAGGTTCCCCTTATGGACCCTTTATATCTTCAGTATTTGAGATCAACAGAGTACCCTGCTGCACAGGTTGCGGCTCTTAACGACCAAATGATGGATAGGGAATGCTTGGGTAATTCATACATGGATTTACTTGAACTTCAAAAAGCATACCTGGGGGCAATGCTTTCACCTCAGAAATCACAGTATGGTCTTCCCTACCAGGGAAAATCGAGTAGTTTGAATCATGGTTTCTATGGAAACCCTGGTTTAGGCGTTGGCATGTCCTATCAAGGAAGTCCGTTGGCTGGTCAACTCCTTCCGAACTCTCCTTTTGGTTCTGGTAGTCTTCTTAGGCATGGTGAGCGGAGCATGCATTTTCCTTTTGGGACGAGGAACTTAGCTGGGGGTGTCATGGGATCATGGCACTCTGAAGCTGGTCGTAACATGGACGAAAGTTTTCTGTCCTCATTACTAGATGAGTTTAAGAGTAATAAGACAAAGTGTTTCGAGCTTTCACAAATTGCAGGTCATGTTGTTGAGTTCAGGTATGTATTACTTGCTAGAGTTCTTGCCCTTCTATTTTATTCAACAATTTTGAGGATATTTGATTTGTTGAAAACCTTATCTGACCAGTGCGGATCAGTATGGGAGTCGGTTTATTCAACAGAAACTTGAAACTGCCACTGCAGACGAGAAAAGCATGGTTTTCCATGAAATTATGCCCCAAGCTCTTTCACTGATGACTGATGTGTTTGGTAATTATGTGATCCAGAAGGTAATCTAATTTCTCATTTTGGCTTATTGACCTAGTATTATTTGTGTTCAATGGAGGAGCAAATTATATCCTATAATTGTGGAATCATCAACACGAATGAATCATGTTTATTTTTACAGTTTTTTGAACATGGATCTGCATCTCAAATAAGAGAACTGGCTGATCAGCTCACTGGGCATGTTCTGACCCTCAGCCTTCAAATGTATGGCTGCCGAGTGATCCAAAAGGTATCTTAACTTTGTTGACCAACTAATGTGGGTTATATTGAAATGTGTTGCATATTCCGCTATAGGGTTTACCTTCCCTTGTCAATATTATTTGTGCACACTTCTTGCACCCTGAAATATGAACTTCTGTTTGCACTCCTGCCTGGCTGTTTGCAAAATTCAGAAAGCAGACCTAAGGGTTTACCTTGTATCTTTTGAAAATTGTTGCCATTAGTAAATTTAAGTTAACAGTTTAGATGTTCCAATGCCTCAGAAAACTCGGTATATTTTTGTTGTGAATTAGGCCGTCCAACAGAAAATAATAGTCTCATTGACCAACTTATGGGAAATTATGGGTTCTCAACGAACGATTGTGTTTTGTGAATTGATGAGGCATGAATAGTTTTCGTCATCCTCTATGAAAGAAAAGAGTCATTTTTGGACTAATTTGTGAATTGTCCTGCAAGCATGAGGCTGAGACCATCCTGTTCTCTCTATTAGTGCTTTTTATAACGTTTAGAAGTTCTGGAGCCAACTGCCTTTAGGCTTTCATGTTTATCGGTATTGATACTACAGAGGTTAGTTGGTTGACATTCTTGTTTGAATCATCCAGGCTATAGAAGTTGTCGATCTGGACCAGCAGACTAAAATGGTTGCAGAGCTTGATGGCCATGTTATGCGTTGCGTACGTGATCAGAATGGGAATCATGTGATCCAGAAGTGCATTGAATGCATACCTGAAGATGCTATTCAATTTATTGTCTCAACATTTTATGATCAAGTTGTGACACTGTCCACCCATCCATATGGTTGTCGTGTCATACAGGTTAAGAGAATAGCTATTTGTTTTGGTATATATGACATTATTTTTGGGTATGGAAAGTTTGTTATGAACATTATTCTGAAAAATACAACGTTCATGTGACAGAGAGTCCTGGAGCATTGCAGTGATCCAAAAACTGAAGATATAGTGATGAATGAGATTTTCCAGTGTATTTGCATGCTGGCGCAAGATCAATATGGAAATTATGTTGTTCAGGTATTCTCTATTTATTGGAAACTTATTCTAGTCATTTTTGTTTGGACACACTTGGGGCTGTGCTAGTCTTACCAAAGGCTGGATGAAAGCTTTGGTCCTACATTATATTCTCACTCCAAACTATGGGCTTTTGCCAAATAATTGGCTCAGATCCTTGAGTTTCCTTTGCATTTCTGCAACCTGTCGTCTTCCTTGATTTTTTCATGCTACTGCTCTTAATGCATTTGACTAGAATTCGCTTAATATGCAATATTCTACCTTGTGTTTGTTTCACCCTAATTAATAGAAGTGTTGATAGTACATAGTTGGCATTGGCTGTGGTCTGTCATTTTGTTCAAAGACAATATGATCTATGAATTGTTTGGCCATGTTGTCTAGCTTAATCTTCTTAGTGAACATCTAATTAAGAAATTATCCCATGATAGATCAGATGCTAATTGCACATTGGGGACAAGCCACATAACTCTGATAAACAGCAGTTTTTTTGTTTAATTTGACCTTAACTATCACTTTTTATACAAAATATCCACTGGTGTGGTTGCGATGCTCTAAGGACAGGTAACTTATCTCCAAGAGCTGGTAAAAGCACAGAAGAAATTACCATCCAAACATGAATGACTAATTAGATTATAGCATCATATAGTTTGTAGTATCCTTTACTAATAATGACTACTTAGATTATAGCATCATATAGTTTGTTGTACCCTTTACTAATGGGTAACCACCTGTTGAGGGCAATCATTCTTGTCGAGTTATATATTTGCCACTGAGGTGTTAAATTTGCTTCATTCTTTCTGTTGAATGAACTACATGAATCATTGTTCCGTCTTGAGTGGAAATTAGGATAAAAATTCTCAAGTTTATCCTACTTTCTTTACGTTTTTCTTTTTCCAGAAAGTACTGAGTTGAATCTTCTTTTTTGATTCTTGTATATGTTTTGACAGCATGTACTGGAGCATGGAAAGCCACATGAACGCACTGCTATAATCAATGAATTGATGGGCCAGATAGTTCAAATGAGCCAGCAGAAGTTTGCCTCCAATGTTGTGGAGAAGTGTTTAACTTTTGGGACTCTTGAGGAACGCCAGACCCTGGTAAATGAGATGCTTGGCTCCACTGACGAGAATGAACCTCTTCAGGTTAGTCAATTTCCATGTGCTCCATATCACTTACGTGCATGTGTATTTGCATTAATGGAGGTGGTGAGCTGGTGGGGATGAGTTGGTTGAATGTGGCCATTGAGGTGGGGCGATTTGTCTGCGCTACAAGATAGCTAGCTTAGGGGCGTTCGACATAAAAAAAGCCTATCCGGCTTGGTTTTGCTATCACTCATGACTTCTATTGTAGTCGTAGTCTTGTTGTCGGCCTGGAATGCCTTTGTAGTCTTTCTAATGCTAATGCCTTCTTCCTTCATTCATTTTCTTTTATTTATGGTAGCCTCCGCGTCCCACATTCAAGATCTGGTGGAGGCCTTAAATCAGAAAGGCAATATCATAGCTATTATTGACCCAACCCCTATTACTAAAGGTAGGCCTACTTTCTTCAAGATGCGAAACGAGCAGCCAGGAACTGCTATCCTTATTTTCTTTATTTTAGATGGAGGCATCAATAAGCTAAGAATCTGACCTTTACTTAGAGAGAGGTAGTGGTCCCAAACTCTTCCGTGCTCGAGCCCAGTGGAACTACAAAGGTGGGTGCTGAGGGAGGAGGGGCTGTGAAGGGGTGGATGACTGTTTGTTCAGGTGACTGTTGTGGCAGTGATCTAAAATGTTAGGGGTTGCCTGGTGGTATGGGAGTGGTTGGTGGGTGGTAGTTGGGCAGCCTTGTGCGTGTGATTGTGTAAGTGATGACCAAAGGGTTGGGTGGTGTTGGCGTGTTGATTTGGTGGTAGTGGTGATGTGGAAGTGGTGTGTGCCCGCATATGCTTGTGTGTGCATTGCGTGTTTATGTGTGTATTAGGGAGAATACTGGGCTGAGATGGGTGGATTTTGACTGAAAATGTAACTGAAGAATGAGGATAACGATAAAAATAGCCAGTTTCAGTTATCTCTGTTATTGGACAAGCTTGACAGCAGGTATCAGTGTATTTTTTTTAAACCAAAGGGGTGTCCAGGTAATTGTATGGTATGCTTGGGGAAGGTTCTTTCATACATTTGATCTGCAACCAACATTGTTTCCATGTTTTATGAATGCAAAATTTGTCAGAAATTCTACTCTACAGGATTTTGTTTTCTAATGATGTGAAATGGTTTATTGCCTGGTTCATTGTGATGTACACGTTTACCTCTTCGTACCCCTATTCTTATTTATTGTTGTTGGGATCAGGTGATGATGAAAGATCAGTTTGCAAACTATGTTGTACAGAAAGTGCTGGAGACTTGTGATGACCAGCAACTTGAACTCATTCTTAATCGAATAAAGGTTCACCTGAATGCTTTGAAGAAATATACTTACGGAAAACATATAGTTGCCCGTGTAGAGAAACTTGTTGCAGCTGGAGGTACTCAATCTCTTCCTCTTGACAAAAACCATCCCTCATATTTTCAAACTTGTACTGCATCAATTTCTCTCAATCTGGTTGATCTAGTATGCTGTTTCGTTTCTAAACTAATAAGAATCGGTGATGATTGGATGATGCATGTGTAATCATTCCAAACACAAGTTAGGGAAATATATCGTGATACCTTGATAGCTTGTTACATTTTGTGCAACTTGTTTAGATAAGAATTGGATTCATAAATAACTACATACCTACTTTTCAACTGGAGTTCCTCTTTTATACTCTTCTGCAATCATGTCTAAAATATTCTTGTCTTCAATGAAAAACGGTTTGGGTAAGAATTGCATTGTCTTTGATTCATGCTATACTTTGATATAGTTAAAAATTCTGCTGCTGAATAATGTCTGGGATTTCTAGCGTTTCTTCTTCAAGGATTTCATTGCAATTTAACATTTTTGTAACACGTGATTTCAATACCCTCATACATGTACTATCCTATACCTTTTTTTTTTCCTTCTGGGAGTTTGATTTGATATTTGTATGATTGTATGAGCTAACGCTGAAATCGTGATGCCATAAGATCTGACTGTTTTCTCTGGTTGATATCTTGCAGAAAGGAGGATTGTTACTATGTCTTCTTCATATTCTGCTTAGAAGGCACAGGGAAGTTTGTACAGCTAACCGAGTGTAGTATGAGTGCCTTCTTCTTCCTTTTTCATGTGCAACTATGGCTCTGTTTGTTTATTTATTGAGAGCGGAGCTGATTACGAATAAAAATCACTGTTTGTACTTATAAAATGTACATTGTCTAGTTTGAGGATATTTAACTATAATCAGGCTAGCCGAGGCTCAGATGGCAAACACGCCCGAAGCCCCTACCGAGGAGAGAGAATTTCTGTACAAGTTTTAAGGGTGTAAAGGAGGAGATAATGTAGTGAAGTTGTAGTGGTGACTGTACAAATGTTGGCTGGTGCAAAGCCTTTCCTTCTGTATGGATCAATAATTTTCCCTTAGAAAGTTTTTTTTTTTTTTAAATATGGCTGTTGTCTGTGTGTGCCTGGGTTTTCTTTCTTTCATCTTTCCCCCTGATGAGAGTATAGGCTTTGCATGGTTGAGTATCTTATGACCTCACATTTGTGGCCATTTTTCTTGTTCTATACCGACTCGATGCCCCTCCCTTGCAGCATCGGGGTCGGACGATTTGCGACTCCATTTTTCTTGTGCAGTTATTATTGATCGGAATCAGTACACCACCATGTATCTCACTTTATGGTCTATGTGAACCTAATATATTCTATTATTCTTTCTTTTTTTTTGATTTTCAATGGAGAATTTTTTTAAAAAAATTCTCTGGCGTCAAGTTCAATCTAAGATGCATTAGCAGAATTACGGATGTCCGTAGTGAATCAACTTGCGCCAAAAGTCTGGCTTTGATCACGTTTACGGACGAATACTTGCAATCACGACTCATTAAAGTATAAAATGTCTTTGTTCATTTTAAGATACTTTAATGTATTGAAAAGAACAAGAATTATGATAGGTAGGAGGAGGATCGGCTTTGAATCTTCTATTATTGAGAATGCTAAAATGTCTCGAGTTTGTTATGCATCAATTGACCCTAAGCAATCAACTTATTCAATGATTTGACCAAAGTAGACAGAAGTCTCTGGACATTGTACAACTTGAACTAAAAATCAAGGAATTGGAGGAGGCCATACCCCTTTTATGTCATTAATGCGGAAACATCAAACAAAGTTCTACTTGGCTAATACCATACTGCATTCACTTGCCCAAAATACAGGAAATTCAAAGAAACCCCACAAACAATAAAGATACACTACAAGGTCTCCATTGCATTGTACCATCTATCATTTGGGAGGGCAGAAAGTGATTACATACCGAGGAGCCCTGCATTTCTTAAGTGCAGTAGAATCATCATAGGCATAGCTATAAGCCCTGGGACAAATGGCCTTAAAGAGATGTGCAAATACTGTTGGCCTACAACTATTAGGGCTTGCAAAGTCCCCGGTGCAACAATACCGGTCTGACCTCGCTGCCAAACATGCACTCTTGCACCCCACTACCTTCCCTCCTTGTTCCACCACCAAGTTTTTCGGGCAGCAAGCGTTCAAATCGGCCTCACAGGCCGCTACACCGCATCCAATACTGCCACCCACCGGGATCATTGAAACTGGGAGGTTAAATCCATCAACTAGACTCACATCATAGTAATGCAAGGCTGATTTTGGAGTTCCAAGTGTCATTTCAACGAGGGTTGCCGGAGGTTTGCCTCCAGTGCCCCTGCAGTATAGTAGGCCAGCACAGTCTCCGGTTTGGCATGAGCCTTTACCGGTTTCGTCGAAGCAACAACCTTGTCGACCCCATATTCTCCCAGACCAATTCTCAGGGACTTCCATGACTATTTGCTCACCACTGTGGAGGTGGAAGCCACCATCTTTGGGAGTTTGATGGCCTACAGTGCCCAGGGTCCCTGGCCATATGCTCTCCTTGCAATGGTTGACAATTATAAGTTGAGTCCCATCTGCAACAAAACATTATTAGAGGGAGTAATTTAGATTTTCTGGCTGTTGGTTGATTGTGAAACAGTTGGAGAAAACTATGAAGCCCCACATGCAGAGAGAGAGAGAGAGAGAGAGTATACATACCTGCAAGGGAGAGAGAAATGAACAAATACAGGAAGAAGAAGAGAAAAGGGGAAATGGGCATTTCTTCTGAATTCTTGTGAAGAAAAAGGAGAGACAGTCACAGAAGGCACCTTGATTATGGCAGTGTTAGAGATACATAACTGCTTTCACAACTGCATAAGGAGGAAGGGATAACGGTTTGTGAAGTGGAGGGAAGTTCTCAACTCCCAAGTGATTAGTTTCTCATTTTTGTGTTTTTTTTTTGGGTATTGGAGAAATTATTGGTCTGTGCTGGCGAGTAGCTGTCAATGGTTCGGATTTTAATTCAAATCCGATTAGTTGTATATGATTTGATATTTTTTTTACTGATAATTTGAACCCGTATTCGATATATTATATTTTCACGGATTTAAATTTGGATATATTTATATCCGATCGGATTATGATCCAATCCAAATTATTTATATATTTCTATATAAATATTAAAGAAATTTAGTTAAAATTTAGGTACAATTTGTTAAAATTTAGTTAATTAAGTTATTCGAATCAAATGGAATTTCGGATTGTTAACAGATTCGGATATAAACCACGAAAATAAAATCTGTTGAATTATCGTATCAGATTTTTGAAATCGGATTTGGATTTAGATCAATTAAAATTTGATTCAAACCCGATTCGTTGACAGGTCTACGTAGAGGCGCGCTTATGCCACATTGTGAGTTTGAGTAGAACTCAGGGTAAAACCTAGTATATGAAATGGTGCATCAACTCATATACTAATTAAATTAAACTTATGCTTCGGTGAAAATTCGAACCAACTTAAAAAAATTTATAACCAAGATCCTTCGATCACTTCTCGTGGAAACTAACTTTTGAATGGGGAATTTATTGCCAGCCCTTTAAATTCATTTAAATTATAAATCTGCCCAGTATAGTGATATTCTTGTAACATAGTGACCAATTTGGTCTTCTGATCAATCATATCACCCACTTCGTCATCCCTTCATAGCATAAGATTCCATTCTTGTGTCCAGGAAACCGGTTTAAAAATATGAAAAAAAAAAAAATGTAACTTTGTAGTGATGTGCATATCTGTGATTGATAAAGCTGGTTTGACAATGAATGATGCTTTTTTAACCTAATTTATTGACCTACTAATAAGCACCTTTCAAGTATGCGAGCTGTATCCCAACAATCCTCGGGATTTTCAACAGACACCCACCTCTCATGTGCATTTAATGGAAAATTTTATGACATACTGCTTTTTCTTTGTCAATAATTGAGAACTGATCTAATCGGTTTCGGAATAGTATCTACAATATTGTTACCACCTCAGTCTGCATATAATCACTTGTAAATTCTAGAAATCAGTAAAAAAAACAGTGCATTTTGGATGCAAGGGGGGCAAAAAACTGTCTCTGGCATTGAACTTTACTGGGAGAATTCACATTGATAATCAAAGACACTTCAAGTTCACAAGGCCAATTTGATACAATTTTAAAGAAAGACTTATTTGATCTCAAGAGTGTATTGAGAGATGCATAACTTGTGTGAAATAAGAGGAGAATGGTGATTGCTTACTTATTATGTATTGATTTATCTTCATGAGACTATACCCGATCATTTTCTTGTATATAGTGGTCGTGGTTTGTTTTGCAAATCTTATTTTTTTTTAACTTTGAACTTTGTTTTGAAGGGGATAGAGGTTAATTCGAAGAACATAACCTATGGGATTTGATAAAGGAGGGGTATGCAGGGAGTGTGTAGGTTCAGAAAGCAAGGGAAGAAGTGTTTTGTGGAGTGAGAAATAGGAGGGAGAGGAAGGGGGCTTGAGCTCATAATGCCATGCTATCTTCTGTCACCGGACATAGCTCAGACAACAAATGACAGATAATATGCGGTGGGGTTGTGTCCCTGCCATATTTGAGCAAGTCATCTTCAAGTTTTAGCATTTCAGATGCATAAACATTTAAAGATGCTCAAGAGCTGTGACAGTTCATCAACAAACTGCATGTAACAACACAAAGATATTAAGTTTTATTTTTGTTTCAAGTGACACCAATATAACATTTCTATGTTTGGGACTCATAGTACAAGATCGTTCAGTAGATATGGCTCCCCACACTACACACAAAACTGAATTGTTATGCGGTCGGTAAACTCTTTCTGCTGGCAGCCTATCAAGTCAGATTACGTATTTTTTAATATGTCGTTACATCATGTACATGTATTCGGTCTTTCATTTTTTTGATGTTCCTGCATCAAAGTTCATTTAGAAACACAGGAATAAATGTGAATAGTCTGTCTGATCAAAATATGTTATGTTTAGGGGAGCATCTACAACTACAGGTACCATTTGGGGAGTTTATAAGCCAAGTGTTGTCGACATGTCAGCAGGAAACAGAGTTAATAGAAAGAGAGTGGGTGCAACATATAAGAGTTACATATCTCCAGGGTGGTAAATAGAGGCCGCACAGAGTTACTAATTGGTTCCACAATGTAATCCAAATTATGCAACATATCAAATTATCCCTACAAAAACGAACTCTAAAATTGCAGCTGCATAAATATACAATCACTCTTTACCTGATCCATCCCACAGCTTCCCTATGTAAAGTGAGCAGACTAAGGAGGCCACGGCTGCTTTACGTATAGACAGATTTAAACAAAGTTGTAGAAGCTACTAGGTTTAGTTATAATGACATATCAACTGCCAAAGAGGTAAGCAAAATCCAGTTTTGGCATCGAAAAAACATTGACAACAAAACTGACAAACTATACAGCAATGCTTAGCACAATGATGTATCAGTTTGTCCACCAAATATCCAGTGGATGCTATAAGGATGAAATACGCAAACAACCGCTTCAACTTCCTTATTTTTTTCCCCCAAACAAGGCTGTAAAGCAGATAAAATTGCACAAAATTACCAAGCAGAGAGAACAAAAATTCATTTTTACCATAAGATTGCTGATTCACCAAGTGTTGGATATTGTTCTAGATATCAACTAGGGAGTGACAAATGAGTAGGAAAAAAAAGAACTATTTGAGAACAGTCTGCTGATCCTTAATTATGTTTGTATTCTAGAAATATGAAGTTCTTTTTTGTGAAGTTAATAAAAAGGAAAAAAGAGAGAGAGAAGTTCGTTCTTGCTCTCCCTCTCCCTCTAACCGGCCCAAATTTTTTTGGGTCAATTTTTCAACACCATTGACAATTGTCTACTAAATTCTTGAAGTATAAGAGGAATCCTCCTTGCCTGCCTACTTGTGCACCTATTTATTCTTTAACTTAATAGTTTTTCATACCTTGTTGCCTACTTTATGAAGCATTCCTTTTACTAAAACTAAAGTTGAAAGTTTGTTTTATAACATCCAATTTGATCTAGATGAACTCCTGAACATGTGAATTTTACATTGTCCCAAATGTACAACAGAGCTAAGTACAAAAGGCTAGACAATGAATCTTTATAAAATAGACATCTTATTTCTATATGTAGAAGAAAAGGCATATGTCAATTACTCACTATGGGGCTAAGGTCTAATTGTGGATCATGAATAGATCTAACTTGTGTTTACTGACCTGCAGTGTTGAACATCGAGGCGAAGCATAAGATATATAAGATGCAACAATAAAGAAAGTTCAGTTTTTCTCAGTTGGGGTGGGGATATATATATATATATATTATATATCATTGTTAGCTCCTTGGTTGAAGCCTGTTTTGATATTATTTGAATGCAAAAAACACATCCATCGGGTCCAACTGAAGCAATGTGGCATACATCTGTTACCGGGGCAAGTACAATGCAGGAAAGGATTTTCAGAATCTGATAAAATTACTCGGCGTAAGGCTGAGAAATTGTGAGCCAAGTAACCAAGTTTGAAGAAGCTAAACCAAGTTTTTCCTTCGTTAAACGATTGTCCTGGCCCCTACCCTATTCCCATTATTTGGCGAATTTTATGCAGCATCTGTAAGATGGCAAAGCAACAAGTTTGAGCAACATACGACGTTTTTACATGTCCAGAAATTTTAGCAGCAGACAGCAATGACATTTTCCTCTATGATGGATGAGCTAATTAAAATAAAACTATGAAGGATACGAAACTTGAGCACATTACGATCACCCTCTATAATATATTGAACACGATTTCAAAACAGGAGTATTTAATCGAATACATTGATCATCCACAGCTTAAAAAAATGTCCAATTCGAATGCATTATGCTGCTTCTTATCAGAACATAGGCATGACATCCAAGAAACCATTCCATTTTGAATTGGGAAATCACAAAAAAAGGTTAACATACCCATTCTAAAACATTCACATAGGTCCTCGACAGCCATAGAAGAAAATCACTAAAAAAGGCGAACATCCCCATTCCAAACATTCACATAGGTTCTCGACAGGCATCGAACCCTAAGCACTGGACTGGCAATTTATAACCATAGAAAGAGCTCCCAGTTTCATTTGATTCTATCCCAACCCCAACACATCTAAATAAAGCTCAGAGAATCAACAACCTTACCTTAACCATTACCTTGTAAAAAACAAAACCCTAAATCTAATCCAATTAAAAAAACAATAAACAATTAACAGCAATCATAAATACTGATTTCTAAATCACTTGAAATTAGACAGTTAAAAAGGTAGGGCTTTTTCATCGTACCTGAAACCACCAAAAGCCGTAGAAACTCCATTAACCCACCAAGCATTTCTACATTCAATGAAAAAAAAAATCGTTGCGTGTGTGTGTGAGAGAGAGAGAGGGGGGGGGGGGTTGGTTCAAGTGAAAAGACGCCTATCACTCGCCGGTCGGCGGTTCAATGATGAAATTGGCGCCTGCCAGACCAGGTGGCGTGACAACCGTGACCGGCTCTTCAGCAGTGGGCAACCGAAACTCCCGGTTCTCTACTTTCGTAAAACCGGCTCGGTTAAAAACTTTGACCACTTAAAAGCCGGATCACCGGGTAAAACCCGAACTAATTAGGCCAAATTACACCCTTCTGGGCTCTGACCGCTGCCCTAACCGGTCCATCCGGTTATCCCCACGACTCTTTTCCACATAATATAGTCAGCCCAACCTCCCTAACTCGGTCTCTCTCTCTCAGAGACACAATAGAATTCAGAGTGAGGATCAAATCCAAGTAAGATCTCTTGCCCCTTTTCTCTTTCCTTTGAAATTGTATTTCCGTGGTAGTTTTTTATGCAATGAGAGCCAATGGTTAGCTAACTTAACTTGTTTATTGCTATGTGTGTATCATTTCATGAGTAAAGAGCTTTTGCTTGTAATTTTTCACCTATAGAGACATTGCCCAGATAGTGATTTCTTAAGGTAGACAAAAATGGCTTCTGGGTTGGAACCAGTAGAGGTTAACTCACAAAAACATGACCCGGCATGGAAACATTGTCAAATGTTTAAGAATGGGGATAGGGTTCAGCTCAAGTGTGTGTATTGTGGAAAACTTTTTAAGGGTGGTGGAATTCATAGGATTAAAGAACATCTTGCTGGACAGAAGGGTAATGCGTCTAGTTGTTTAAGAGTTCTACCCGATGTTCGCCTTTTGATGCAAGAGAGTCTAAATGGGGTTGTAATGAAGAGGAGAAAGAAGCAAAAACTTGCAGAGGAGATATCTAATTTTAATGTGGGTACGAATGAGGTGGAGCCCTTTATTAATCAGTGTGGTTTGAATACTGAAGTAGAGTTGCTTCCAGTTCCCGATACACTAGAGCAAAATTCAAATTTGTTAGTGAACAGAGAAGAAGGAACAAGTAACAAAACTGGAGGTCGAAAGAAGAAAGGAAGAGCCAGAAAAGGATCTGGTTCCACAAATCCTAGTGCTGCTGCTGTAAATAGTAATATGGCAGTAGTAGCTTCAAAAAAGGCAAACAATCAAGTTCTTATGGCAATAGGAAGGTTTTTCTATGATGCTGGGGTGCCTTTAGATGCAGTAAACTCTGTTCATTTCCAATCGATGGTTGATACGATAGCTTCCCACGGAGTAGGGGTTGTAGCTCCCTCATATCATGATCTTCGGAGCTGGATTTTGAAAAATTCAGTTGAGGAAGTAAGGCAGGAGGTTGATCAAGGCATGGGGACATGGAGCAAAAGTGGTTGTACTGTGTTGGTTGATGAACAGATTTCTGAAAAGGGTAGGACATTGACAAATTTTTTGGTGTATTGCCCAGAAGGACCAATGTTTTTGCGGTCTGTAGATATATCGGACATTACAAATTCCATCGATGATCTTTATGAATTGCTTAAGGAGATTGTAGAAGAAGTTGGTGTAAGAAATGTGCTGCAAGTGATTACTAATAATGAAGAGCGATATATTGTTGCTGGTAAAAGGCTGACTGATATTTTCCCTACTGTTTTTTGGACTCCTTGTGCAGCTCGTTGCATAGATTTGATGCTCGATGATTTTAGAAAACTTGGGTGGATAACTGCAATACTCAAACAAGCTAGATCTGTCTCCAGATTCATCTATAATCACAGTATTGTTTTGAATATGATGAGAAGGTATACCTATGGAGTTGATTTGATTGATTTGGGAGTAACACACATTGTGACTGATTTTACCACATTGAAACGAATGGTGAGCACCAAACACAATTTACAATCCATGGTTACTTCAGAGGAGTGGATGGAGAGCCCATATTCAAAAAAACCAGAGGGACTTGCAATGTTAGATCACATCAGTAGTCAGTCATTTTGGTCCATGTGCACTTTAATTACCCGTTTAACAGATCCACTATTGCGACTTTTGAGAATAGTTCGTAGTGAGAAGAGGCCTGCAATGGGATATGTTTATGGAGGAATATGTCGAGCAAAAGAGACAATTAAGAAAGAACTTGTTAATAAGAAGGATTATATGGTTTATTGGAATATTATAGATCACAGATGGGAACCACTTCAACGCCATCCTCTTCATGCTGCAGGTTTCTACCTCAATCCCAAGTTCTTTTACAATACAGAAGGAGATGTACATCTCCACATCCGATCATTGGTTTATGATTGTGTTGAAAAATTGGTTCCTGACCCAAAAATCCAAGATAAAATTGTGAAAGAGACAACCTCATACCATAATGCTGCTGGAGATTTTGGGCGGAAGATGGCAAGAAGGGCTATAGACACTTTACTTCCTGGTGAGGTTCCTTTAATCAAATGCATTGAAAATTTCACTTATTATACGACGAACAGTTCATTTTCTAGTTAGCATCAATATATGAATTTAAAGAAAAGCAGCCATGCTAGGGAAGGCTTAATATTCTGACCCCATGCTTTGTTCCCCATACATATGGTAGATATGGTGATGTTGGGAACATGGTGCAATATTTGACGTTCTACGTTATCCTTTGTAAGGAACCTCGGCAAGTACAAACTCTAAATAAATTGATAATTACAACTGAGTGCGCTGTGCCTTGTCTTTTTTTTTTGCCCAGGGCCGGGGGAAGGATAGGTTTCATTTGTTTGTTAGGTGTTTGTGTTGCTGATTGCAATGGTCAAGATAATGTGTTGCCTACTTATTTGCATGCATGCGTAATGTTGATGGTCGTGACATTCTCATTACCTTACTATTGCAAATTTATACATTCGCACTCAGCTAATTGTTTTGGAATTTTGATTGTCTTAGCTGAGTGGTGGGCAACATATGGAGGGGGTTGCCCAAGTTTGGCTCGCTTGGCCATCCGCATTCTCAGTCAAACTTGCAGTTTGATCGGCTGTAAACCAAGTCAAATTCCTGTTGAACAGATAAATGAAACAAAAAATTGCTTAGAGCATCAAAGGCTCAATGACCTTGTTTTCGTCCAGTACAACCTGCGATTGAGGCAAATGTAAGTACAAGCAAATGAGTCTAGTGTTTTGTTTTGGAAAGTGTTCAACAAACGAAAAGCAAAGTGGGAAAGCAAAAATTTCTCCCCTCTAACTAATTGTTTACAGGTTCCGGAAGAACAAAGAACAGGATGCAGTCGATCCCATTTCATACAACAACATCAATATTGTTGAGGACTGGGTTACGGAGGAGTTATGCTCAGAGGACTATGGTAGCTCAGATTGGATGTCAGTTGACCCCCCTTTGGGCAACATAACGCTTTTAGGACCACAAATTGATGATATTGAAGCCCTGGGTGCAAGTAATCACAATTCTTTGCTATGGAAGCATTTATCAAGGAACCTTTATATAACCTTTATTAACTTTATATGTCAATGTGCAGGTTTTGATGATTATGAAATCTTTGACAGCGTGAAAGACAGTGAAGACGAAAATGGTGAAGATAATGTAGTAAGCCAGTAGAATGTATCCCAGAAATGTGCTCCTTCCTTTTTCTTCCCCTTTTCTTTTGAGAAATATGTCGCATGTCTACTTATCTCTTGTTTTAGTCGAGCTGAGGAAAATATTGTAAGATGTTTGTGAAATGTCAGGGGTTACTCTGTGTGGGTGACTGGGAGTGGATTTGTTGTAGTTAAGTCAATATTTGTCTGTTTTACAACCAAACGAAGCATTTATCTGAATGTTGTATCAAGTAATGTTAAGATTGTGAAAAGGAGACTAACTACAAAGAGGCTGGTTTAACACCTTTGCATTACAACGTAATACTAGGATGTTAGCTCTTTTACAAATGAATGTGGGTGAGCTGTATCTGATTTACTTTATGTAACAGCTAAGGAGATAAGGTAGAGAGAACTTACTTGGAAAGAAATGGGGAGAAAGATATATCATCATGGATGATCCTCGAGTTGTCCCAAGCCAAGGATTCCTCCGGAAAGTTCATGTGGCCTTCAAGAACAGGTAGGCTTTCTTTACATTTTATTCGGTTGCATATGCTCTTCTGTCACGCCTGTTCTCTCTTACTTTGGCAATCCAAGATAGTCCGCGTGAGTTTCTAGGAAAAACAAGCATTTATGCATTGCTTCTATTTGATTTTACTACATGGCATCTGGTGGATTCTCTAGAAGGAAATAACATGAGAAAAATTAAATGCTTAATATTGCAGAACAAAAAGAAAGTGGATTTAAGTGTCTTTTTTTTTCTTCTCTTCAATAGGTAGAAGTAGATTAAGCGTCTTCTGCTGAGCCTTCCAGCAACAATAATGCTCGTCCCAACCACTATTAGTGACTGACATTATTTGCAGTTTTGCACTGCCATGACTAGATGAAGGTTAAGGTTTTGAAGATAGAGTCCTCACCAAGAATTCTATGGAATGGAGGTGAGAATGGCAACTGTTGCCATTATATGTTTTTGCTCTGTTAATCCTTCTGCAATTTGGTGTTCTGTTAGGTCTGGAGATTTCAATTCCATTTAAAGGAGATGGAAGAGTCCTTTGGATATATCACCAATATGCCTTCATATTTGCATGCGAATTCGAGTATATGCACCGAGAGCTTCAGCTTTTAGTGTTCACTGCTAAAAAAAAGCAATCCATTGCACAAAGAGCCTTGCTCACACGTGCGGGGTGGCTATTTCCACGACCCAAAGCTTTTAACGTTTAGTTACAATGGAGTAATTTTATTGCTGCGCTAAGGTCTATCCTCTAGTGCGCACTTATAATATACTCTAAATAGTATGTAAGGTTGCTCGTAGTTGAGCACCCCAGAAAGCTCAATTAGTCTACATTTTGCATTCTTTATTTTACTCCACATGAACAACTCTCTTGATATAACGAAATTGCATCAATGATCCAGGTGAAAACAGAGATTCAGTTACAGTGTGATTGAATCAATTAAAAGCTCATTACTGTCTACAAAAGTCATGCACTAAACTTACATGTAGGTCCTACATTCAGAACACTTGAAGAAAAACTATGACCTCCATGTTTCTTCCAACCAACAAATGGATGATCATATTAACCATTTACATTCATCGTCAGCCCGAAAAACAAAAATCTACATTAAGATTTAGAAAGAAACCACCAGAATTGAAATTGGAAAACACCCAAAAAAAAAGAGTTAGAGAGAGAACAATCCCCTATCCAACTCTCTCTCATGGCTATCTGCCACCCCCCCCGCCTGAAAGAGACACTGATGAAGTGGAACCTGCCTCAATATCAGCATCGCCATCACCATCAACCATTGCCGACCATGCACTTACCTTCTCAAGATACGATGAAGATGGATACGAGTGCACAAAATCCTCAAACTCGCCACCACCACCACCAACCTTCTTCCCATCATACTCATCAAGGGGTGGCAAAACTTCGGGCAACCCCACCTCCCCTTCCAAATGCCTCACTACCTGTCTCATACTAGGCCGTTTTGCTGGGTTATTATTAGAACACATCAACCCCAACTTAAGCACCACCACAACCTCTACCTCATCGTACTCACCTCTCAACCTTGAATCCACCACCCCAAGAATAGCACTTTCCTTCCACCTATCCCACACCCAATCCACCAAAATAAGCTCCTCAGGCAATGCTTTAGGCTCTATAGGCCTCCTTCCACACACAACTTCAAGCAACAATGCACCAAACGCAAACACATCAGAGCCTGTTGTGGGCTTACCAGTCTTTGTCAGCTCTGGTGCTAGATACCCCAATGTGCCAACCACTCTTGTTGTGCTTGGATTTGAACCATGCTCATACAATTTAGCAAGGCCAAAGTCTCCTAATCTGCCACTTAATTCTGAATCTAGCAACACATTGCCGGCTTTGATGTCTCTATGAATCACAGTTTGTTCCCATTCTTCATGTAAGTAGAGCAGTCCACAAGCCACATCTTTGATGATCTTAAACCTTTGTTCCCAACTTAAAATCATTTTCGGTTTGTCGTAAATATACTTATCAAGGCTTCCATTAGGCATAAAATCATAAACAAGTAACAAATCCCCTCTTCGTCTACACCATCCCTGTAATTGAACCAGATTTCTATGCCTAAGACGCCCGATACTAGCAATTTCAGACACGAATTCACGAACACCCTGCTTTGATTCATGGGATATTCGCTTAACAGCCACTTCGGTATTGGATTTAGGCAAAGTTCCTTTATAAACTCTTCCAAATCCACCAAACCCAAGCAGCTCTTTGTCTCTGAAACCTCTTGTTGCTTGCTTGAGCTCTTTGTACGAGAATCTATGTGGACCAACATTGAATTCCCAGGCTTCAATCACATCCATGTTCTTGATCTTTCTAAAAAGATATAAAGCTATGCCAAAAATAAAAATCATAAGAGCAATAGCAGATACAGATACACCTACAATTAAGACTGTATGGTTCTTTTTGGGGCCAGGAAGAGAAGGAAGTGAAGATAGATCCAAAGATTGAGCTTGCCCGTTGATCTTGAAGCTCCATCCAAAGATATAGTGAGAGCTCGCAAGCAGACCAGTTGAAGCAGAGAAGCCCACATACATGTAGTCCAAGAAGATTGGTGAGAGATCAACAGGAAATGACAGAATCGAAGAAGTGGGTTTTGTGGAGGAGAGAGAGAGAGTGACATTCAATTCATTTCTTGTAGAATCATAATCGACCCAAGCTTGAATTGTTTTACCACTCTTGAGATTCAAATCCTGTTTTGTTGAATTGCCTTCAACAAAACAGGAGGCATTGACTGAATAGTTTGATATTAAACTGTTGAGGTCGATTCCGACATGGTTATCATTAATGTCCTCGAATTCAAAGTCTTGAACAGTGTCGAATTCAACTGCGAAGACATGGTTGGAGATATTTCCATTATCACTCGCATTGAGGAGACCCAAATACTGACTCGGAAGTGACCCTTGAAGCTCTTTTGATGGCGAGATCGTAAAGGCAAAGCCGTGGCCACCCAGTTTTTCATACTCAGGAACAGTAGCAAAGGCGAAAGCTGTAGAGAAAGAAAAGGCTTTTCCACTTGATAAGTCCTTGAACTTGATTGGTGTTGAATAGAAGGCATGACCCAACGAGCGAGGTGTGTCATTTGTGAGCTTGAGAACACCATTGTTCTCAATCTCTGCAATACCATTTAGGGTTATGTTGTTGCCCACACCTTTGAAACCTTGGTGGGTGAAATCATCAAACTGAGAGAGAACTGGGTTTGAGAGAAAAAAGAATACCCAGAAAAGTACCAGTCTTTTGGCCATGGCAGAGGTTAGAGTTGAGCTTGTTTCTGAATTGAATGGTGTGTAGATTTGAAGATCAGGTGAGGTGGGTGGTGAATCATAATGGAGAATCTGAAAGTGTTTGATTTATGGTATGAATTTGTTGCATGTGTTTTGTCTGGTTGATGGAAGAAGGAAAAAGGAAAGGAGAGAGGAAAGAGAGAAGAAATTGAAGGGTGCTGGCTAGGTACAGTTGTACCGAGAGTTGTGTTTTTTTGGTATTATACAAAAAAAACAAGTGGGATTATACTTTTATTATGTAAAGGTAAATTCATCCCCACCCTTTGTAAATAGTGTTAAAATTACATTTGACACCCCTTATCATTTGTCGAGTGACGGATGTGACGAAAATAAATGAAAAAGACAAGAAACCCTCCCCTAACCCACCTCCTTTGCCACTCCCTCACCATCCATTCTTATTCTTTTGTTATTGTCCGTCCTTCACAACGTCAGTTTTTATATATTATTTTTCACATATTAAATTTAAATATTATTTAATACAATTTAATATTTAGTGAATAAATATTAATATAATGTTAATTACAATAAATTAAATTTTAAATGGATAAAATTGAATATCTCTCATTTTAAATCAACATAAAATTAGGTAAAAATTCATTGATAAAATCGAATGCCCCACTTACAAATACCACTACAGTCTGTCCATGGAAGGATAACATACCCTTAATTATTTGTGTTGAGATGTATCTTTTTTCTCTATATATTATGTATATATTAATTTCATATAAAATAAAATGATAAAATATATATATTTTTTAAAAAATAAAATATAAAATATAATTAAAAAAAATTTCATCTTAACTAGAGATAAAAATTTTTGATTTAACACAATGACACAACTCAAATTCAACATGAATTTTATGATACGAACTTGATTATAAGTTGACACGAACTTGAAAATGACTTGACACGCGAAAGACTCATAATTTTATGACTCAACACGAATTTGACATGACACGACTCGATTGTCATCCCTAATATTGGACAAAAAAAAATTAGTCATTTTTATTTTTTATCCATTTAACCAAATATAAATGAAGAAAAATATATCATTCATATTTTTCATCTTTAAAGAATATAAAATATATCTTTCTTATTTTTCATCATTCATATTTTTTATTATTTCTATCGAACAAAGCGTTAAGAATATGGCACATGGAAACCGTTTTAGTAGCCATGTTGTGGGATGTACCATTGGGAGTCGCTTATTATCTGCCAAGGATAGCATTCAAATGTTCAATGTGACACTGACTTTTGTACAATCATTTGAAAACATGAAGCACTTATGTTAAACGAGGTTCAAGCACCATGACATGCATCCACCCTGATTTTATCATCATACTTCTTAGTTCAATCTTAACGCTTGGTTTGGTAGAAAAAATAAAAATAAAAAATAAAAAGGATAAAAAATAAAAATTATACATTTTTTATTTTTCAAGAAAAAAAAGTATGAATGTTACATTTTATTTCCTTTG